CCTTGCAGAAGTCAAGCATGAGGGCCGTGCTATGGTGTGGCCTCAGACCCTCCCAAAATTACATGAGAAGAGAGCAAGCTTCCACTTAGACTGCAGAGGCCATGAAAAAGCATTCCCTGAAGCTATTTTAAGGGTCTTGTGTGACCTGGAGCAGCCTCAGGTAGTTCATACGGTCCTCTCAACAGAAAGGGAACACCATCAGATGGTCAACAGTGCATGGCAGATCCTGGGGAACGCAGGGCTGGGGCAATTCCACCATTCCCCAAGACTTTGGAGAACAATGTGAGGTGACACTAGGACTGAAGTTGCAGTCCAGGTCTCTAATTCAGACCCAACCTCAGCACTATTCCTATGTTCTGCTGGTTCAATGACCATCTAGACCACCCTCTTTTGTTCCGTGTGTGTGTGTGTGTGTGTGTGTGTGTGTCGTACCAACCGAGTCAAGTTTGGCATTTTCCAAAGTTTTGACACTCTGTGCCCAAATAGTTTGCATCCATTTAGGAAAGGACACAGCTGCCTGGAGAAGGAGCCAAGATGTGCAACATGCTACCATCACCATCATCCTTCCAAAGCATCTTTTCTGCTTCAGATGCAGCTACATAGCCATACTTAACAAATTACGAAACAGGGCATTCTCAGCTATAGTCCACTTAATCAGCATCTGATGCCCAACAACAAGCCAGCCATGTTTCTGGCAAGGTCCCTCATGTATGACATGAACTGATAGATCACTTTTTCTTAGCTTCAGTCTCAAGCAGAATGTCCTTCTACTGCAGAAATAAAAATGCACTTCCTTCCTTTCATTCCATTGTACTAGTCCATTCCAACTTCTCCTGCCCTCATCTGTTTGTTTTTTGTACCAGCTTATGCTCAGATCTTTCTGGATGGTCGGGAAGCTTCTATTGAGGTATTTAAGTTATGGCAAAAATAAAATAAAATGGTAGCCAACCCCACCTTCATTAAGCTCTTGGTTTTATTGATTTCTACAGTAGCTCTAGTAATAATCCTTGGAGATACGCAAAGAAAACTCAACATGACATAGGGAAAGATCTCAGTAGTAGTCCATTGAAGATTTCTATAAGTCTTCCAAAGATTTCTTATGAAAATAGTAATAACACTTAGACTTAATTATTGCCCATAGTGCTTTAAAGCATTCTGGGAGCACTTTACAAATATCAGCATATTGTTCCCCATCAATCTGGTTCCTCATTTTTCCAAACTTGGAATGATGTAAGGCTGAGTCAACCTTGAGCCAATCAGGATCGAACTACAGGCTGTGGGTACAGCTAGCCTGCAATACTGCATTCCAACCACTGCGTCACCTTACACAGACATTTTCTACAAATAAACTTGTGTCCCCAACATGGCACAAAGGTCACTAGTCTCAGCAAAGCATCACTTAATATTCTCACCAGGCTCCTGATTTTGTTCCTGTAACATTTATTTTAATTCAAAATAAGCAAGAAGCATGCCTGCCAAAAAATAAGAAAACTAGCCTCTAACAGAACCCAATTAAATATCTTGGGCCAACATAGTCTTTGGCATTTCAAGCAAATGTGGCAAATATGGTGGGGTGGTTGCAACCAGACTTTCACTCCTATCCAAGACTGAAGACCTCTTTCCTATAAAAAAGAAAGATCTTTGGTACAACAGGCAGACTATTAGGAGAAATGGAGTGACTGAATAGTGGGCAATTTGAATTGTGAAAACGAACCCAGGGAGAGATTAAAATCCCATCCACCATTTGCATTACCACTATCCTATGATAATCATGGTTCAGAGTATTTGGCCATGGATGCGCCATCACTACTGGTGCATGTTCAACTCTAGAGAGGACATAATAGCAGGTGGGTATGCACTCCATTCTAGCCTCTGCATAGATGTTTAGAAGACTTCTAAAGATTTTTAGATCTCTTGCTTGTATGCTCCCAACTGAATTACTATTACATTATTTCCTTGGCATGTAAAATATTTTTTTAAAAAACTGAAACACAAGAGGGTGACTAATTATGGCACAGAAACATCATACTGTTGCTCCAACTTACTGTTTGAATGCCGCCAAATATATGGTAATTAATAGTGATGGTTCCAGAATTCTGATGACCAGGCAGGGAACTTCTAGTTTTGGAGATTTCCATTTTCCCTGGGGGCTGATTTCCTTTTATATTCCCATAGACAACATTGCACAAAGGGCAGACTGGCTTGTAATTCATTGCTGTTTCTATGCAGGATGCACAAAATGCATGCTTGCATTTGGGTAGCAATTTTTTCTGGTAGATTTTATTCAGGCAGATGGGACAGCACTCCTCTTGCTGGACTTCCGATGCCTTCCCTACTGGCGGCTCCTGAGAAGGAACCTGCTGCATTTTGTGATATCTTTGGGACTCAAAGGATGTGCCTGTGGCAGCCATAACACTGGAATCAGGAATGGCTGTTGCTTCACTGTTTACGGGTCCAATTGGTTGCTCTGTGGGATGATTTCCTTTTTGCTTCCAATAGCCTGGGTTGCACACAGGACAGCCGTTTCCATAATCCATTGCCATTTGTGCACATATTGCACAAAATGCATGCTTGCATTTGGGTAGCACTACTTTCTGGTGGATTGTATTCAGGCACGTGGGACAAACTTCATCTGGTTGGACTTCCGTTGCCTTCCCTACTGGCTGCTCTCGAGAAAGAACCTGCTGCATTTTGGGACATCTTGGTGAGCCAAAGGAGGCACCTGTGGCAGTCCCAACACTGGAATCAGGAATGGCCATTGCTTCCTTATTTATAGCTACAAATCCCTCAGTATTCAGAGACTCCATGATGTGCTTCTCAGCAAGCAGTATGTCTTCAGGAAGACCATAAATGAGCAGGTTGTTTTCCTTTAGGCACAGTTCTACTTTGGGATGTTCATGTTGGAAACATTTAAATAAATCCTTCCATTTTCTTTTCCAATCCTCCACAAATTCCAAACGAATTTCTTTCATTTGTGGTGTTTCTAAATATATCAGGTACTCGTACTGAAATTGCTCAGAAGCTTGTGAAGAACGATCTGCAGGTGCATATGATTGGGGCATAAAAATGATGCGTGTTAACTGATCACCATGACAATGTTTCTCTTCCATTCTAGTACAATAGTGGTTGTTTATTAATTCAATCATCGGATTTAACTTTGGTTTGAGAAATGCAAATACCGCAGTGTTAACTTCAATGCCAGATGGCTGTGCATGGGGATGATTTTTTTTATTCCAGCTGTTTGCTGTCATTTCATTTAACAATGCCATTGCATCTGAAACGTCCTTTGTGGGGCCTTGAAGTATAGCTGTGTCCTTAATAATTTTAATAATAAGGTGTTTGCATTTGCTTTTTATCACCTCACATGTCTGGCTGTCAATGAAAGGAAATGTTTCCTGTTTTAGATCTCCTGCTACTTTCTGAAAAAGAAGGACAAACTCCTCCTGAGCTTTCTTAGTAAAGTTAGGTACCCCCATTGAAGAAAACCAGATAGAAGTAATTCCATTCTCAGTGTTGCCTGTTTCTAATTTTACAGTGAACGTCTCCTCGATTTTTTTAATTTCTTCCTTGTAGGCTTGTCCAAAATACTCAAAGATACCTGAAGGAACTTCCATCTTGGCCAGTTCTTCTAAATCACTCCTGTTTCGTCTGTTGTGATCTTCCTTTCCTTCAACACAATTGTCCTGCTTTTTAGGTTGCAAAAGTTCACTGTCATCATGGTCTCTAAGAAGCTTCTCAAAATGACTGTGTAACTTTTCAATATCCTCATACTGTCCCACCACTTTTTCAATACCAAGATGACTTGACATTTTGTCTATTTTTAAGGTGTGACATACAGAGATCACCTGATTTCTCTGCTCTTTAGTGAGCAAGTCAGTATTCAAGGTGGCAGAGACCTCAAGAAATATCTAAAAATAAGTAGAGGAGGAGGAGCACACAAGAAATGTGAGCCAGTACAATAAAAATGATACACAAGATTTAACATAAAGTCCTTTAAAGGTCTTCTACAGTGAAGAATTTCACAGTGAGTTAGTGTCTTCCTTCTTTAGTCATTTTCTGGTATCAGTCTATTCCTTCTAATAAACAAGGTTTTCCAGCATGGCAAATATACTCTCCTACACTTTGGCTTTTAAAGAAGCCTAAATGCTTATATTGCAAATTAGCAGATATACACTGCTCGAAAAAATAAAGGGAACACAAAAATAAGACATCCTAAATCTGAATAAATGAAATATTCTTATGAAATACTTTGTTCATTACATAGTTGAATGTGTCAACAACAAAATCACACAAAAATTATCAATGAAAATCAAATTTAGTAACCCATGGAGGTCTGGATTTGGAGTTACACTCAAAATTAAAGTGGAAAAAAAACACTACAGGCTGATTCAACTTTGATGAAACATCTTGGAGTTGTCCTTAAAACAAGTCAAAATGAGGCTCAGTAGAGTGTGTGGCCTCCACGTGCCTGTATGACCTCCCTACAATGCCTGAGCATGCTCCTGATGAGGTGGCGGATGGTCTCCTGAGGGATCTCCTCCCATACCTGGACTAAAGCATCCTCTAACTCCTGGACAGTCTATGGTGCAACGTGGCATTGGTGGATGGAGTGAGACATGGAGCGATGTCCCAGATGTGCTCAATTGGATTCAGGTCTGGGGAATGGGCGGGCCAATTCATAGCATCAATGCCTTAATCTTGCAAGAATTGCTGACACACTCCAGCCACATGAGGTCTAGCATTGTCGTGCATTAGGAGGAACCCAGGGCCAACCGCACCAGCAGTCTCACAAGGGGTCTGAGGATCTCATCTCAGTACCTAATGGCAGTCAGGCTACCTCTGGTGACCACATGGAGGACTGTGCGGCCCCCTAAAGAAATGCCACCCCACACCATTACTGACCCACTGCCAAACCGGTCATGCTGGAGGATGTTGCGGGCAGCAGAACCTTCTCCACGGTATCTCCAGACCCTGTCACATCTGTTACATGTGCTCAGTGTGAACCTGCTTTCATCTGTGAAGAGCACAGGGTGCCAGTGGTGAATTTGCCAATCTTGGCGTTCTCTGGCAAATGCCAAACGTCCTGCACGGTGTTGGGCTGTAAGCACAACCCCCACCTGTGGATGTCAAGTCCTCATACCACCCTCATGGAGTCCGTTTCTGACCGTTTGAGCAGCCACATGATTTGTAGCCTGCTGGGGGTCATTTTGCAGGGCTCTGGCAGTGCTCCTCCTGTCCCTCCTTGCACAAAGGCAGAGGTAGTGGTCCTGATGCTTGGTTATTGCCCTCCTACAGCCTCCTCCAGGTCTCCTGATGTAATGGCCTGTCTCCTGCTAGTGCCTCCATGCTCTGGACAATACTGATGTTTGCTGATAGACACAGCAAACCTTCTTGCTACAGCTTGCATTGATGTGCCATCCTAGATGAGCTGTACTACCTGAGCCACTTGTGTGGGTTGTAGACTCCGTCTCATGCTACTGCTAGAGTGAAAGCACCACCAGCATTCAAAAGTGACCAAACCATCACCCAGAAAGCCTAAGAACTGAGAAGTGGTCTGTGGTCACCACCTGCAGAACCACTCCTTTATTGGGGATGTCTTGCTTTCCACCTGTTGTCTATTCCATTTGCACAACAGCATGTGAAATGGATTGTCAATCAGTGTTGCTACCTAAGTGAACAGTTCGATTTCACAGAAGTGTGACTGACTTGGAGTTATATTGTGTTGTTTAAGTGTTCCCTTTATTTTTTTGAGCAGTGTATAAAAAGGAAGTCAGTTTTTATAAAAACTATTTTTAAAAAAGCTTTACAAACTTTTTGGGGTAATTTGAGTTTGTTAAACTTTTTTGTTCATCTGTATTTTCTTCTATCACACAGATGTGCATGTGCACACACATGCATACCCATATTTATACCAAATAACAATACCTAACAAATTGGTTTGGTTTTACTAATTGGGAGGATGGAAGCATCATTAAAATTAATTTATTGAACATACAATATCCCACAACATCGAAGATTCAGGATTTTCTATGGTCATATGTAATGTGGAGATAGTTGAGAGCTAACGTAAGCATTCTAAAGTTAAATAAACTTAGAAGATTACCTTTTTTCTAGCACTTTCATGGCCATGCTTGTTTTTAAAATCATTCTGAAGGGGCCAAAAGTTTGGAGAAAATGAAGTTGAAAGTGAGCCCACTGTTTCTGCAGCATCAACCATAGGCAACTCCGAATCTGACAAAATTCTTATCTCTAAAGTTATTCCCCCAACTTCTATAGTATGTCCACGATGGGCCTTCACACGCTGCTTCACTATATCATGTTAAAAAACAACAACAGAATGATTAAAGTACATATTTGTCTTGCTTATATTTTTTAGTCATTTACACCATAATAGGGTGCACACATTACACAAAGCCCCTCTTTGAAGGAGATGAGCAGTTTATAAATATAAACAATAAATTGTTCAGTTAGTATTAGCATATTGTATCAACTCAATCACAGAGATACACAATTTATAGAAATGTTATATAAACATAGCAGTTTATAGAAACCTGAGATGCATCATGCATTGGCCATGCCCACACCCGGTTTAGTGAAAGGGGAAAGTCATGATATGTCATGTGACACTGCAAATTTGATATCCCTGATCTACAATCTCCTTCAAATACTTTTAAAAATCTGTTTAGGACCTTGCTCAATTTTCCCCTTCGCTCTGTGCTTCCCAAACTTAGCAGCTTCCAGAGAGAGGCCTCCAAAGTTCTTCAGGCAGCAGGGCCATTTTTGAGAAGTCTGGGAGTTGACACCCAAATCTTTCGAAGTTGCCATAGTTGAGAAGTATGGCTAATTCAATGATTTCTTATAAGAGAGAAAGAGGTTCTGTAGTGTGTAGGTATTCTGGAAAACATATGAAAATATGACTTTGCAAAAGACATTGGCTCATGCAAATAATTCCTCCTTCTGGCAGCCATGTTCTTTCAAAATTCATGCAGTTGCTTTGAAGGTCCCCACTGTACCTATTCAGGAACACACCTTTCAGCTGGGGCTGCCATCAAGTGAGACACAATGCATGAATACACCTGTACAAATTCTTGGAGAAAGCCTTTGAAGCAGCTGTGCCGCCACTTCCAGAGGATGTGGCTGTATTAAAGCTCCAAGGGATGTTTCTCTCTCACCAAAACACTTTGTAAAGGGCTTTTCTCAAATGCTAGTCTTATCCTACCAGAAAGCAGCCGATTATTAAGATCATCCACTCCATAATAATGCGAAAAGCTCATCACTACCCCCTTTGACAAAAGGTTTTTTTTCATGGGAATTCAGGGAAGCTGCAATCTCTAACCTTAACCCCAACTCCAAAGTAAGCCAAGTACACTGCAGGGAGATGTGTCAGAAAAAGACTGAACTTGATCCGAACTGTTTTGTACTGGGGGAAAAATATCACACATTTTAAATCCGGGGCTTGCTCTTTCTAATGCCTTCGAAACGCTCTTGGTATTTTGGGTCAGAATGCGCAGCACACTTCTACATCATGATTTAACTAGAAACTTATATCTCAGCATGTTCTGGCTAGTCTATAGTGTGGATTACTTTAATCAAAAGTTAAGGTGTGTTACAACAATCAAATATCTGACAGGTGGCAAATATCAGGGATTTGAATCAGCAGCCCCCCCCCCCCC